TAATGATGAGAAGGCTCTGCGCCAGTGTCTCAAATGGTGGAGCTCTGGTCCCATATAAAAAGGCCCGTCTCTAAGGTTCAGTTCACACAACTGTTATAACAAGTGTTGCGATATTACCTGTGCTCTCTCTCTCTCTCTCTCTCTCTCTCTCTCTCCCCAACACTAGACCAACAGTGTATCGAAAGTAAAGTTCAGGTCTTTTTATATACTGACTATAGCTTTGTGTTCTCCGCAGCCATTCATCAAAATCACTATTTATGACCGTTTCATATATTACTATACGTTACTATACCTCAGACCGCATACCCGTCCCCATCGAAGTGGACAATCAATATTAAAGTACAACAAACTCATTAGGTTTGGGAGAAAAAAGCACTGAAAATAATGAAAAAAGCTTTAAGAAAAGGTTTGCTTTGAGGAGTAAAATATAATGAATATTTATTAAGTCATTTGTACGGCTCGTATGGCATGAATATTCCTGCCGTTTAGCTAATTGTAGTCAAATTCCATCATATATTTGAATTTTGAGCACTTCTTTTACTCTCACTTTTTATGATTCATAACTCTCTTCAAAACTGTTGTCCAATACAACTGCCAATAGTTGAAAACCAATTGTTGTTGTGTTTATCCCAAACACAAAAACTTCATTATGTTTTCAATTTAAAAGAAAAAATAATATTTTTGAAAAATCGATTTTTGCCAAAAACATAATTGTTTTTAGTATTGAATATTAATTTATATTTTTGGTACAAATTATTGAGATCTAAATTACTTACACTTTTCGATAGCTCACCGAAAAGGGGTTTTCGTTATGATTTATGTGACAATAAATAATAATTTTGAGAATTTTATTTAAACAAAATATAAATTATTCTTGAAATCTTAATTTAAAGTTTATAACATAGCAAAAGATAAACTGTATTTCAATTAGTTATGAGACATAAATTCTATGTTAAATAAATTAATGAAATCAATAATTATAACGAAATAACCGCAAAACCTCAAAGCCTATCATAAATAGTAAAATGAAATGAAGTGTCACTAATAGAGGGGACATACAGTGGACGCGATGTCCATAGAAATAATGTGCAAATCTTATAAAGAGTATAGAATAATATAATAATAAAAGGCATACAATAGTGAGTGAGATCTCATACAAACAAAATCGACTTTGAATTTGCGAGCCTTTCGTTGCCTTCGGGCGAAAGCGCGTGGATTGGGAAGGGATGGGGAAGAGATGGGGACGGATAGGGACGGGATCTCCGCCTTGTTATCTGACAAGATAATGATGAGAAGGCTCTGCGCCAGTGTCTCAAATGGTGGAGCTCTGGTCCCATATAAAAAGGCCCGTCTCTAAGGTTCAGTTCACACAACTGTTATAACAAGTGTTGCGATATTACCTGTGCTCTCACTCTTCTCGCAGACGCTCTTTCAGTAGTATTGATGGTTCGCTCGACTCCTATGTCTCTGTAATTGAATTGAATTATCCGTAATTTGTTTGTCAACTAAAAGAACCGACAATTTCTTCCGTCCAACAAAAACATGAATGAAAACAGTATTTTCTTCGCAAATAATTCTTTTTGTTTTGTTGCCGACGGAGACATCAAGACTATGGATGCCTCCAATCATTTCGATATGGACTCATTGGACACCACTGTCTCTCCGGCCAACTCATACTCCATCGCATCGGTGGACGACTATTCGTGCGGTTCGCCATCAAATGACTCGTTTGATTCAATTCAACAAAAGTTTTCGACCAAAAACACCGCATACTTAACAAATCAGTTCAACAGAATCGATGAGAAACCGATTTTATCGCCAAACGCTGAGTCCAACGAAAGCTCTCAACCGATGGCCGAAACCACAGCGAAGAAGAATCGCAAGAAAAGGACTCAAAAGAGTTCGCCGAAAGAGTCGCGAAACAATGGGGCGAGTGGTCCGGTTGTCGTCAAAAAGAGACGATTGGCAGCGAATGCGAGGGAAAGAAAACGAATGCATTCATTGAATATCGCTTTCGATAGACTTCGAGAAGTGGTTCCCGGGATTGGAGACGACTCCAAACTATCCAAATACGAAACCTTACAAATGGCTCAGCACTACATTATGGCACTCAATGATCTACTTATGACCTCATGATCTCTCATTCATATTATTCTGTAATTCATTGTATAGATAAGTATTGTATAAATTTCAATGTTTTTATTTTGTAAAATATTATATCATTATTTTATATACATTATTATTAATTTATATTTAAACTTAATATCTGTTTACGGCGTTTATTACCTTATAATATACTCAAATGAAAATATAATCAAGATTTTAAAATTGTTGCAAAAACAATAAAATGAGATATTTTACCATTATATAATTTCTACAATATAATGTAGTAATGCAATAAATGGCTACATATGTAATAAATTATATTTTATAATCTTGTATTAAATTTAATAAAACTCTAATTGTTTATAAAATATTGCAATCCAGTTATTTCTTGAATTATTCTTATAGTAAAAGCAAAATAATATTTAATAAAAATCAACTTAAATTTCAAAATTTACACATTTTCAAAGAAAATGATGTTTTATTGAACCAATGTTTCTATTAGTAGTTTATTCAGTGTTTTGTAAATACAGAATAATATTCACTTTTACCCATATTTTGAATGAAACTTTTATATTCAAAAAACTTGTTAATTTGATTGAAAATTTCTTTACATTAAGCGTTAGAGAAATGCAACGTTCAGTACAAGTAAAACATCACGTTTTTGTCTGATAGTGACTTAAATTGAATCATATTTTTTGAAAGTTTTTACACAAAAAAAAGTTGAAAACAAATTTTCTTTCATATGAAGAGAAAAGAAAATCATATAAATGTTCGCCTATTCTCTAACAAAAATAATAGCTTTTCATTCGCTCTTTTGGCTAAAATGAGAAGTAATAAGAGAGAGAAAAATGTGTGCTTTTTGGGACTCATCTGTTGATAGATTTATTCATTGTTTGCCACAATTGTTAGACAAGGAATGCATTACTTTTCCATGTATTTTATGGCTCAAAATACTACGAGAGCTCCGGTTTTCTTCACTGATTGAGCATTCATTCACTCAATTGATGCCACAAAATATGTATCTGTAAAGTACTGATTGACTTAAGGAGTACTACACAGACATCAATGTTAAGGTAAGGGACGGAGGAAAACAAACGGATGGCTCCCATTCCTGGCCATCCATTTCTATTTCCAATAATCACTCTCTTTTGTAATAACCGAATCAGTTGTTGGAGAAAAAATTGGAAATACATTTTAACGCTGACCTTGTCTTGGGTTATGTGCCGTCTCTTCATATGTTTACATCTCCTTCAATACAAAATCATTTGATATTTTTTTATATTTCACTGCAAATTATTCGCCAATTGAGAGATTTGAGGGAATTTTTATGTGTTTTTTACTATTGTTTAAAAGGGTCTCAAAAAGTACATGTTGTGTTTTATAGGAATTTACGAGTTGTAATAAGGAGTAAATATTTCTTACAATAATTTCATGTAATTATTGATACATTACTGGCAATTGGATGCTATCTTAACCGGCGCTGGCGTTCACTTGTGTTTACATGAATTCAATGTAGTTTTTGATAGTGAAAGTGAGGCAAACCTCAACTGATTTTGACTACTTTTCAAAAACTACTGTAAAAACACAAAATCACGCCTTAGTTCAACATAAGAGAGCGATCGGGAGATACCGTGGGGTAACGATGTCGGCCCACAACCGGCCACTCGTCTTAATTATGATCTTTACTACTATAACAAGAATATTCCATTACATTCTCCTCTAAATATAGCTAATCAGGCCTTAAATCGTCGCTTTTCTAGGGCTAAGGTTTGCCCAGAAATTTCCAAACGATTCCCTTAAACTGATAACTTCTGAGATGTAATCGTATTTGAGTTTAACTCAAAAAGCGATAAAAGTCTTGTGTTGTGTCCTCTCATTAATAAAGAAATACAACGCTTTAAAAGTTCAATGAATCAAAAAGACAATTACAATAAGCTTTAAGATAATGAATGAAATATTCATTACTCGAAACAAGTCATCATTCATTAGCGTTGATGTCATCATTAGAAACACTGTTTATCTAAAGATTGATTGCAAACGAAATACTGGAGACTCGACCCAATACATGGATAGACAGTATGTCTATAACATAATCACAATTCACTACTGATTTCTAAGTCAATCAAACAAATTCGCCGAAGAGTTTGAGATCTGAAACGTTATTATTATAGAATTTTTTACTTATAATGAGATTTACACTATAGTGTACTGCACTCTACTCTATGTCATCAAAATATGCGCAAAAATTCTCGCTTTAATCGCTTGTCATCATAATTGTGAGGAATATAACAACTTTTGAAATGAACTGAACAAATACTAGATTCATATGGATTGTGATGTGTATGTTGTGAAAGCTCTCACTGTCTGTCTCTCTCCCAGTGCTATACAATTAGTCTTTTCAATCACAGATGAAATGAAAACTTGTAATTATTGAAACAGTTGCTCGTGTTGTTAAGACACTCCTATTTTTACAACTCTTTAGTTAAGACAACAAAAATATTTGCGCGAAGAGAGAGAGAGAGAGAGAGAGAGAGAGAATTGTTGTCA